ATCAGTCTGAATTGTATGAATCTGGGTTCATTGTTTAACCTCTGGATCTCTGCTTGTAAAATGGAAATAGTGTTTCTCCTTGAGGCTAGAGGATGAGTGCTAGGACTACTAAAGAATTGAATGAAATGTGTAGTTGTTGTTAGGTGCCATTGAATTCGTTCTGACTCACAGTTACCCTGTGTACAAATGAACAAAACACTGCCTGGGCCTGCACTGTACCCACAACTGTTTGCTTGAGCCCATTGCTGCTGCAACCGTGTCACTCCATCTCATTAGAGGGCTTCCTCTTTTTCACTGACTCTCCACTTTACCAAGCATAGTAAATATGCTTACCAGGGACATATAATACATAAATAAAACCAGTTACTATTGGGTCAATTCTGACTCATGTTGACCCCAGGGCTGACAGAGTACTCAATAGAGGTTTCAATGACTTGGTTTTTTGGAAGTAGTATCCTCCTTTTAGTCTCTAAGTGGTATAAACAGTTAGTGTGTTTGGCTGCTAACTGACAAGTTGATGGTTTGATTCCACCCAGGGATTCCTTAGAAGAAAAGATTGGAAATCAACTTCTAAAAATACAGACATTGAAAATCTCATGGAGCAGAGTTCTACTACTGACATACACCTGGCACACACAGGGGTCGGTTTGAACTGCAAGATTGGTAGTTCAAGCTAACCCGATGCTCTTTGTAAACCCTATAGAGGGTCGATTGGGTTGGAACCAATTCAATGGTACTTAACAACAAACACAAAATATTTTTAAATTTACTGATTCTAGTCATGTGTATGGGAGTTTTTTTTAGAGTACATAATTTCTTGCCTCAGATTTAAAAAAAAAAATTGTTTTTCTTATGTTTGCATCTTTAATTCTCCATTACAATCAACTGCCATTTCCCCAAACTCCATGTGTCCACTTGCAGTAATTCTTCAAACCACCCTTTTTGCTTTAACCTTCTTTTAAATTCAAATGTTATAACCAAGCTTGTTGTTAGAATAGTTCTCTAGTTAGTGTAAATTCTCTATGAATTATGACAGAGTTATTTCCTATGAGAAAAATATGTAAGGCTTTATGTATGAGGAAGGAGCCCTGGTAGCGCTGTATGTGAGACATCGGGCTGCTAACCCCAACGTTCAAACCCACTAGTTGCTCCCCTCAAGAAAAGATTTAGTCTCAGAAACCCTATATATGGTCGCTATGAGGCAGGGTCAACTTGATGGCTCTGGGTTTGTTTTTTGGTTGTGTATATGGAGATTTTTAATAGAGAGGTGGCACCACCCATTACATTTTCTTATTCTAAAATGGATTTACAGATCCTTGGTGGCACAGTTGTTAAGATTTTGCCTATTAACCAAAAGATTGGCAGTGTGAACTCACCTGCCACTCTGCAGGAGAAATATGTGGCAGTTGCCTTCCCTAGAGATTATAATCTTAGTGTAAATTTGTCATTCAATCATTTATTCTCCAAATGCTCTTCTGTATTTGATTGTCATGAGTTAAACGAAAGACTCCAGAATAAAAATAAATCATCTAGTGATGGTAGAGGGTACAAAGGAAAACAGGAAGAGATGACATAAATTTACTTTGAGTTTGTAAAAAATACGTTTGTGCTTATGCTGCTTCCTTCATTTAGAACAGAGATGGAAAACATTCAGCAGGTGGGCTATATAATTTTGAATGACCCACAAATTGTTATGTAAATTTTGGCAGAAAAAGTTTCCCCACTCCTGTTCTAGAATATTTTCATTCTCATTTCCCACTTCTTTTTTGACATTACCACTTTGTATTGCTAATTCTTCATTCCCAAACTATTAATATTGACACACAGACAATGTAGGGCTCTCTATTGTTGAGCACAGGAAAATGAACTGCACAGAGGTGGGCTTCCAAGTCCTTTCAAGGACTCAGGAGATGGAGTTGAATTTTTCCCATGTAAGGTAGTGGTAGGATGTGAACCTCCAAGGAATAAAGTAGAACCTGGGCTAGAAAGCAGGTGCCGAAGGGATCTTGAAGGTAATCAATAAGTTTTCCCTGTGAGTGGGCTAAAAGGCAGATGGCCACTGTGGTAGACAGAGCTGTTGGATAAACAGGATCAGGGAGTGGAAAGCAAGTACATACATGTCAGGAGCAATGAAGGAGGTATAAGGAGACAGGGACTTCTGATTCGTTTCAGGTAATGTTGGTTTATTTCTAGAAATCAAATAAATATCATCTGAGGCAAATGACTGGGTTTAAAGGGCCAAGGGCCAAATTAAAAACACAATTGAATAGCAACACTATAGTTTTATTTAATTTAAATTTACTTTAAAAAAATTTGTGTATAAAATTTTCATGATACAAGATTGAAAATAGGTAGAAATGAGATGAATACATGATACTTTTACCATATTTTATGAAGCAAACAGAGTCAATGAATCCCCTAACTGTATACAAAAATGTTGCCTAAATCCTTGGGCAGAAATGGACTGAACAGCATCTGGGGGGAGGCCAGTACTGTGCAGAGGATATTGGAGGCAAAGCTTGCTGTAGGATTTAGCATTTCCATAGTCCCAGGCTGCCATATCTGGTCCTAGCTTATTGCCATCAAGTTGACTGGCAGTGACCCTATAGGAGAGCATACAGCTACTCCATAAGGTTTCTGACATTGTGTATCTTTTACTGGAACTGAAAGTCTCATTTATCTCCCTCTGAATGGTTGTTGGGTTTGAACCACTGACCTTGCATTTAGCAGTTCAATGATTAACACACTGAATAGTACCAATTCTAGCACTCCTAGAATTGATACTATTGTGAAAATACAGCATGAAATTATTATAATCAGTGATTGTCATCTGTGATTCTGTCTTCTACTAAAAAAAAAAAAAAGTAATCAAGGATACATAAACAAGCTATTCAAAACCCCCAAACCATTTTAATATTGGAATAATCCCGATTATATGTGCATTTAATCTTTTAAAAATACATTCTTAAAAATATATAAAAATTAAAAAATTAAAAAAAATACATTCTTAAAAAAAAAATACATTCTACTTTTGGGAGGGGGTTTCTTACTCTAAGTATTGGATCCCTAATTTCCAATTCAGTTCCTCCAACCTCTTTTATAGGTGGGCAGGAGGTGATCAAATAAGGGTGGCAAAACTAGGTCTCACATGCCTCTTGCTGATATGTTCAGGTACGTAGGTTAGTGCTTTGGAATCAGGCAGGGGAGGCAGCTGGCACTGTGAAAAATTGACTCTTTGCACAAATGGAAGTAGAAAGGGTCTCACTTTAACATTTTTAAACACTTTTTTCCAAATTTGTAAGGACATATGAGTGATTTGGGTGCCAACTAGGAAGAGAACACAGGAATAAACTCTATAATGTGTTGCTGAAGTAAGAAACATAATTATTCTTTTTCATTTTATGCTTAATCTTATCAATGGGAAGAGATAAACAATTTTTAAGCAATAATTGCTGAAACTGTTACATAATTCAAATGATTATGATCACCTATCTATGTTACTAATGAAGAGGAAGTGTCAGTATAATGCTTAAGTTGCTTCGACTCACAATCCCCTTTTACACTAATTGACATGATGACAAGGTGAATGTCATATTCAGTCACCTTGACTAGGTACATTAAAAAGTGACTATGAGTAAAATAGTCTAGGTCAGTATATTATCAAATGATTTACTGTGAAATGAGTTCTTATATAAAATCATTAGTGTTTTCTATTGACAATCACCTCCAAGACAAAAAAAAATATGCTGATTATATTTTCAATCATTTTTGTGCATCATTTTTAAAGACTTATTAAACAGAAGGTGATCACATATTTTTCTTTTGCCCTTTTAAAATATGAAATGATATTAAGAGATAAGTGTTGTCATTGTTAATTGCCATTGAGTCAGTTCCAATTCATAGAGACTCTGCATAGGGTTTCCAAAGAGTGACCGGTGGGTTTGAACCATCATCTTGCAGTTAGCAGTCTGGTGCTTATCCTACAGTGTCACACCAAGGACTCCCAGGAGATAAGTAACTTGATATAATGATAAGATATGAAAATTTGTGAAAAAAAGACTTCAGAATTGTCTTTTGCAATGGAGGATATTAATCGTGACTGTATGTCCATGTATCAAGAAAAAAAAAAAAAAAAAGCACAGCCTATTTCCCTTAATAATCTGAGAGAAGTATGAGAAATATTATTAATATCATTTTACATTCAAATACTAAGATTTGGGGACAAGATTAAATGAAACAATTTCAGTTAAGTTTTAAGAAAGTCCTTACCAAATAGCGAGCATTCAGTGAATACCATCCATCACTATTGTTATCATTGTCATATTTACTTTTACATCATCACCTCATGTGAATCAGCTGTAGTGCTCAGATCCACTCACAATGCTTGATAAAGAGAATACTCAATTTTATTGCATGAATTAAAGAAAAAAGAATACAATCTGTAGTTATTGTTAGTTGATCAAATACTTTTTATGGCTTAAATAGTAGCCATAAATAATTTTAGTATTTTATTTGAAATAAGTCAGAATAAAAAAACAGTAAGGATTCTGGACTCAGTATTAGAAAGCAAAGTGCCTATTCAACTCCAGATTACTAGCTAACAGATCTTAAGTAAGGAACATCATCTTTTCACAGTTTTTATCTATAAAAAGGACAGATAGTTCCCTCTATCCACCTTACTGATTTCAGAAAGGATCACATTAAACAGTACACCTGAAAACAAGCAAAAATTTGAAAGATGTCAAATTGCAAGTTATTATTGGTAATAAGTAGAGTAAATTATCATTTTAATAGTGTCTGATTCCTAAGATACGTTTATTCTTGCCTTTCTTATATGAAATATTATTTTTTTCCTCTAAAACACAGAAAACATTAAAGTATAAATGAATTTACAACTCTTTATGGCAAATGTTGAAGGTACAATATAAAAACTAAGACTAAAAGAAGATAAATATATGATTCTTACTTCACATGTGAACTCTTTTGTTTCATCATTCCAGGTGCCTGTAGTAGCCATCTTGGGTTCAGGTGGGGGTTTCCGAGCCATGGTGGGATTCTCCGGTGTGATGAAAGCACTATATGAATCAGGGATTTTGGACTGTGCTACCTACATTGCTGGTCTTTCTGGCTCCACATGGTTAGTATGCATTTTTTATTATAATATTTTGTGCTTTTGGTGTAAGTTTACACACCAAATTAGGTTCTCTTTTAACAATTTGTATACATATTATTCAGTGACATTTGCTACATTTTTCAATATGTGTCAGCATTCTCATTATTTCCTTTCTGGTTGCTCCGTTTCTATTAATCTAGCTTCCTTGTTAATCTTGAACTTTTCATTTTTGCCTTAGGGTAAATTCTGAACATCTGGATTCATAGAGATGATTTTTCTTTTTTAAATTAGCCAATCTGTTATTTTTCTGAATGATGATCTCTGGATATTATTTCAGTACAAAGCTTAAAGGGTATCACAGGGATTCCTCTTGGGGTTCCTCTAGTCTTGGCTGGCCCAGTAAATGCAGTCTTTTTTTAAGAATTTGAATTTCATTCTACATTTTTCTCCTAGTTTATCCCAGGCCATTTATTGTGTTCCTGGTTAGAATGGCCAATAGTGGTAGCTGGGCACCATCTGGTTCTTTAGATCTCAGGATAGATGAAGCCATAGTTTGTGTCCCTTCTTTGAGTCTTTGGTTTCTTTCTTTCTCTTTTGCTCCAGATGAGTACAGACCAATAATTGAACTCAGACAGCCCCTCACAAGATTCTAGACATTACTCATCAAGCTAAGTTGTAGACTATAAAATTTATGAACTATATTAGTTAACTCAATTGAAGTGAGTTACCCCACAAGACTGAGTATGTAATTATGATCTTAATTTTATTATTCTAAATGTTTAGAACTTAACTCAAGCATTAGAAAAGAAAAAAGAATTTAGAACATTGAATGTTAAATGAAAATTATTGAAATATTCTAACTTAATGAAACAATCTGGGTTTTAAAATACCTTTTGAAGGCAAATCTATATCTAGTTGTAAGTTATGACTCTTGCCATAAGTTAATTCCTTTCAACCTGCTTGTAACTTAAAATGTGATTAAAACAAAAAGTAGATCAACTTACATAATTCTAGATAAATATTATAGAAGTGGAAGAACATACTCCACCCATAATTAATTTAATCTTCTTATAATTTGCTGATTTGCAGACCTTCAGCAAGCATGTTGAAGTTGACATGATTCACTAGGTATTCATTTTCCTCTGTAGGGCAAATAGACAGAAATGCAAGATACCTTAACTCACAGAAGAAGCAAAATGACCTTTGAATGCAAAAATGAAATAAATTTCACTGGTTTGCATCTTATTAAATTTAAAATTGATCCTTTGTATTTTAGCTCAGTAAAAATATGCAGAATTAAAACATAAATGTATAATATTTGTACCTGTACATCTTTACAAACATATTTGTTAAACATTTTCAAAAGAGATAGCATACTTTCTTTCCCTTGACATCAAAAAAGTAAATTAAAGATCAGATAGAAGTTCTTGTTCATATGCCTCAAATAAGACTGTCACTTTAATACGTAAGTGTGGGACTTTGAGTTAAAATACCTTTCTAGTCACTCAGTCAGCCATGGGGAGGCTTGTCTTTCATAAAATATATTAGATAAGTCTAGCAGTTTAAAGTCTCAGCATCATCTCATGTCATGAGATGGATATGAGTTTCTTCATTGTTAAATAAAATAAGATTTGACTTGGAAGTCAAGTGATTTGGCCAAGATCATCAACAAATCCAGAACTCATATCTAGCCCTTTGGATCCCTTGTACAATGGCTCTTTCTATAAAATCACACCCATCTCGTGGGCAACTATAGAGTCAAGATAGGTTCACATTTCAAGAACGTATAATTTCTTAAATATTTTGGGTCTGGATTTCTCAGTTAAAACCAGCAGCATGATTGCTACTTTCTCTGTACCCTCAACAGATTTATCTCTTCTGCAAGAAGGGTGTAGCCCATCATTATTCTTTCCCCTGAAGGAAAGGGCAAGCACCTGCCTGTTTAATGAGTAATGTTACTGAAAACTTGGACCCTTAGAAGAGTGCACCCACTCAACCATTTTGTTTTATTCTTTAGGTGGTTTTCTTTCTTTGTACTTACTAATGGTTATATACCTATTGCCCATCACTGACTAATATAATGCAAGAAGCCTACTTTCTTAAACTCATCTAGTAGAGTAACATTAGGCTCCATGTGCTGATTTAGGGTATAATTGTGTACAAGTGCCTTCAAAATGTCCTTGAATAGATGGAATTAAAGGATAATGGGATTTTCCCATAAACTTTTTGAAGCTCCCTGCATTTGTAGGCTTGAGTAGAACCACAGTTACAGCTTTTGTTACAGATTTAGGGCAGCATCTTACATTCTCCAATCAGGGTTCTGAAAATAAGTTATGTAAAATGTAATTCAGAGGTTTGTAAGTATTATAGGACAGCCATTTACACATTGTTGTGGTTGTCATGTGCCATGGAGTCAGTTCCGACTCATAATGACCCTGTACAGGGTTTCTGAGGCTGTAAATCTTTACGGGAGCAGAAAGCCTCATTTTTCTCACGCGGAACAGCTGATAATTTTGAACTGCTGACCTTACGTTTCACAGCCGGATTCGTAACCACAACGCTACCAGAGCTCCTTCATTTATACACACACACATATATTCAAGCATACCTAGTTGCATTGACCTTTGTTTTTATAGTGTTTTTGTTTTGTTTTCTTAACAAATTGAAGGGTTACGGCAACCCTTTGTCAAGCAAGTCTATTGGTGATATTTTCTCCAACAGCATGTACTCACTTCATGTCTCTACATCACACTTCAGTAATTCTTACATTATTCCAAGCTTCTTCATAGTGCTTGTTACTGTTGTGGTTGAGTTTCACCATTGCTATTGCACACTTAATAGACTACACTATAGTGTAAACATAACTTTTATATACACTGGGAAACCAAAAACTTCATGTGAGTCACTTTATTGCAATATTCATTTTCTTATGGTGTTCTGAAACTGAACTCAGTACCTTCACTGAGCCTGTTTATCCTGACAGGAATACGCAAGCTTCCACTGAGAGACAAGCAGAGACTGGGCTTAGAGTAAAAAAAGTGACTCTACTAAGTTGTTGTTATTGTTAGTGCTGCTGCATTGGTTCGAACTCACAGTGATAGGCATAGGATTTCCAAGGCTGTGCATTTTAGTGGGAACAGAAAGCCTTAGTGTTCTCCTGCAGTGCCACTGGTGGCCTCGAACTACCAACCTTGTTGTTCACTGTCTAGTACTTGCTTTACAGAACCACAGCACTCCCCAAATCTAATAAGAGCTGTGTATTATTTTAAGCAAAGTGGCAGTAGTAGTTCAGTGGTAGAATTTTTTCCCTTCCATGTAGAAGATCCAATTCCATTCCTGGACATTGCTCTTCAAGCCCAGTCTCCATTTGGCTCTCAGTCAAAGCTTGTATATGCCTGTCAGTCTGAACAGGTTGAGTGGAGCCAGATGAAGAGAATGATCTACTTCTGAAAATCAGCCCGCTTAAAACCCTATGGATCACAATGGCCCATTCCCTTTGTGTAGGGGCCAACATGCATTGAGAGCCAATTCATAGTCAGCTAACAAAACAACAACTATTTTAAACAGCTTGGTTGGAAAGGTAAGAATGAGACAGAATCAGTGTTTGAAGGGAATACAGAATCTAGGGAGATGTTTTTATTTGTTTCAGAATTTAAGAGACTTCACCATTTTTGCAGAAGTCTGAGGTAAAGAAAATAGTGTAGTGAGCTAGATGGAAGATAAGAAATAGAGGGGTCCAGGCACAGACAAGATTGGACAAGATAAAAAGTACTCATGAGGGTTTTAACTGTGGAGAAAAGACACTTCCTGAGACGGAAGAAAAGGTGGTCAGGATGACTCATATTAACAGTCTCTCATGAAAAATATAGGTGAGAAGGTAAAAAGTTCAAAGGAAGGAATTCGGAAAGACTTGGAAAAACAAATTACACTTCTGCATTGTGTAAAGTTTTATATTCTGCTGATATATGACCATTATTTGGCACAAATAAGGTAATACGGAAATATCTGGAGAATCCCTAGACCTCCCAGAAAGTTTTCTATGATCTAAGAGAAAGACAAATCTTCTATCTTTATGCTACTACCTTTACGGTAATTACTTCTGAAATTATTTTTGGATGGGTGATATTTGTTCTTCATTAAATACAAGCATTAAACAACCTGGAGAACAGACATGAGTGAACTGTGAGAATCATGAAATTAGCCTTTTCTTTTCTTACTCAAATTAGCACTGTTCTCTCCTTTCACATAGCTGGCCACTGGCCTAAGGAATTATCAGCTACTCACTTCCTTGTTTGTAATGACATTACCATTTAAAATTCTGCTTATATAGACAATAGATTCCAATTCATTAAAGTGAATAAAATTGAATCCAATAATAAGAAGTTTCAGTTAAACAGTCTGAATAATTTTGGAACACTGAAAAAAAGACAATTTTAATTATGTTACCACATAAGAAATAACATGCTAAAAAAAATATATCAAGGTATGTTGTTGTTGTTGTTGTTAAGTGCCGTTGAGTCGGTTCCGACCCATAGCGACCCTGTACAGGGTTTCCGAGGGTGTAAATCTTTACGGGAGTAGAAAGCCTCATCTTTCTCCCGCGGAGCATCTGGCAGTTTCGAACTGCTGACCTTAAGGTTCGCAGCCCGATTCGTAACCACTACGCTACCAGAGCTATTGTTGAAGATAATGTTATTTGAGATGGGAACTATGTTTTACTCACTGTTGAATCTTTTCTGTCTAGTATGGTGCTTGGTCTTTCTTAGGTAATGTTTGCTTAATGAATAACTGAGTAACAAAATGCTTATATAATAGCATTTTATGGGGAAAATTAAGATGGAGATTTCTTTAGTGTTTTAAGATATTTGCTACTCCAATGACCAGGGTTTCCTCCAGTCATTCTAAACCTTAGTGGCAGATAAGAATCACTTGTAGCAACTTTAAGCATAGAACTTTGCTCACTCCTGAGGATTCTGATTCAGGCATTGGTGTTTTTAAAACCCTGATTTAAAACCTAAATTGAGATGTCCTTGCCCTCTGACATGATTTCACACTTCATCTAAATGCATTCATGTGGAGAAAATGAGGAGCCCAGGTGTGGTAAGCAGCCAACCAGGAGGTCCATTTAAACCTCAAAGTCAGTGGGTTAAACTCACCAGTCACTCCTTGCAGTCACTATGAGTTGGAACCCACTCAATGGCACTTTACAACAACAACAACATCATGTAAATATGTTTAAAGAATCAGAGGTCAATCTTTCCAGATTTATAGAGAAATACATTTACAACATTTTCATTCATCAGTTAACATATTTTAGTTGTTTTATGCAATAGATTTCTTTTGGACACATAGGGACCTTATGTGAGAGAGTGGAACTTCCTTCCCCATAGAGTTTCCTAGACTCTGAGGCTGTAATATTTATGGGACCAAATCTCTAGATTTGTTCTCATGTGAAAGTCCTACTGGGTTTGAATCAATGATCTGTCAGCAGCCAAGAGATTAACCATTGTGCCACTTCACCCTTTATAGATGTTCTGCTGTTTGGTGGTGGTAGTTGCATGCCACCAAGTTGGGTCTGACTCATAGCCACCCTATATAGAGTTTCCAAGGCTGTGAAGCTTTACAGAAGCAAAGATTTTTCTCTTGTGGGGAGACTGGTAGATTTGAACTATTGACCTTGTGTTTAGTAGCCCAACTCCTAATCCACTACACTACCTGGTCTCTTCCTGCTGTGTTTAACACACTATTATTATTATCTTTAACTTGATTAGCTTCATTGGGAATCATTTATTAGTAAAGTGATAATTTAGATTTTACTACACAGAAATTGGGGTGATACCTTTGTGCTTCAGATTTCTTGGTGCCGCCAAGGAAGCAAAGAAAGCCAAGTTTGTTAAAATGCTTGCTATTCCATCTTTGTTGTTGTTTTTAAGTGTTATGGAGTCTGTTCTGACTCATAGAGACCTTTTATAGGATTTCTGAGGAGTGACTTGTGGGTTTGAACCACCAACTATGTGGTTAGCAGTCCAGTGCTTATCCTACAGTGTCACACCAAAACAACATTCAAGTATGTCATTTCCAACTCATGTTGCCCTTATGTATAACAGAAGAAACATTGCCCTTGGTCTGTATGAGCCCACTGTTGTGGCTAGTGTACCTATTATCCAATTCTTTAAAGGTTTCTCTCACGTTGGTTTGCCCTCTATCTTACCAAATACAATATCTTTAAATATATTGATATCTTTACTCAGATAATTTAGTTAATCAATTATGTCTTCCATTTTTAATTTTTCTTTCTACAGAATGCCTACTGTCTTTGGAAACCATTATGTATACTTTTAACTTTGCTATGTTTCATTTTCTTTACAGGTACATGTCAACCTTATATTCTGACCCTGATTTTCCAGAGAAAGGATTAGAGGAAATTAATGAAGAGCTGATGAAAAATGTTAGCCACAACCCCCTTTTACTTCTCACACCACAGAAAATTAAAAGATATGTTGAGTCTTTATGGAAGAAGAAAAGCTCTGGACAACCTGTTACCTTTACTGATATTTTTGGGATGTTAATAGGAGAAACACTAATTCACAATGTAAGCTATGTTAAAATCTACAACTCTTACTCTAATAAAAGTAGGCAATATATACCAATTGATACAGTTTAACTTAAAGAAAAGATGATATATTTTATATACATCATTTGATTCAGTTTAGTCTTTCATCGATGTGTACTGAGCACATATTTTGACACATATTATAGGTACTTTTGCATTTTGAACTTGTGATTACTAATTCATTCAAACTACATGTTAGTTTTGATATGCAAAGAACACTTTGTTTTCCATGTATTTGGACAATATACAAATTAACCTGTGATTGTCAATGTCAAACCACTCAAAGGGAATCTTTTTAAATGAGAAAGTAAGTATAGGATTTATTTTTAAAATAGAGGAAAAACATAAGTTACCTTAAAAGAAAGTCAGAAAAGGAAGTAAGTGGCCCACATGAAACCAGTCCACTTACAACATGACTGCAGTGTGACATTTCTTTTGACGATTCAGTAGAGATGTAAAGAAGAATCTATCTGTGCCAAAGAGTTAGTTCTGGGCCTAAATTATTTCAGGATTTCATAGTTGTCAAATCTTTCTCCACTCAAATGTAGATATAGTCCTTCAAGTAGTGTTTGTTTGTAGCCTAAAGATAATTACTTCCATAAGAGCTTACTTTTGCAGTTTATTCAGGACAGTGAGCTTTCTAGAAGCACTAAGACTTATTAATTTAAAATAATAAATATATAAATAAAATATTTTATTTTTATTATGAAAATGCATTTTAGCAAAGTTTCAAATTGGAAATAGCATTTTGAATACCTTTTTATCTATACAAGTTTGTCTATTTGAACCCATTTTTTTCCCTGTGGACAGAGAATGAACACTACGTTAAGTAGTTTGAAAGAAAAAGTCAGTACTGCACAATGCCCTTTACCTCTTTTCACCTGTCTCCATGTCAAACCTGATGTTTCAGAGTTGATGTTTGCAGGTATGTGATTCCCAGCTTTCTGAACATTCTCTAGAACCTTTCAACAGTGGTTTCCAGTTATCTTATTTATCATCATGGTGGTGGCTGTGTGCCGTGGAGTCAGTTCCCACTCATAGGACCCTGTACAGGGTTTCCAAGGCTGTAAATCTTTACGGGAGCAGAACGCCTCATCTTTCTCCCACGGAACAGCTGTTAGTTTTGAACTGCTGACCTTGTGGTTCGCAGCCCGATTCGTAACCACTACGCTAATTTTACTTTCCTAATTTAACCTATTCTCTGTGACATAAGAATGTTTGAAACTATAAGAACATAATAAACTAGATAGATTGTTTTGGTTATAAAGAATATTCTATAAAACTAGTATTTAGTCAGTGATATTTTAAAAAACCTTTAAATAAAAATTTAATCTTATCGATAACTATTTTAAGTGTCTGTTTCTCTGACTTTTATCACAATATTGTCTAGTGTTATTAGATAGTATCTGTTCTTTTTCCTGCTGCCTATCTTTTGATTAAAATGGGTCATGTTATGTATATGTGTCATTCAGAACACTATGCTAAGCTTTATAATTCAGAGCCAAAAGAATACTAGTCTATGTTTATGGCAGTCAGTAAGCAAAATGCTTCTACTTTCCTGCTTCTTAAATCTCAGAAGTAAACATTTATTTTTACTGTTGTTCTCATTTGATACTCTAACAGTGTGTGATATCACACTTTTGGGTACCTTGGCCAACCCATCCTGCAATACAGGGGCACTTCTGACAAAGGCCAATGTAATTCATTGTATTTCCTGGGACGTTACCTCAGTGACACTGGTCATATCCGGAGCTGAAAAAACTCACAGTGAATGGAATGTAATGAACAGACTTGTATCTAGAACCTGTTCAGAATTATAGTAAGCCTCACTTTTTTTCTCAATGGACTACTCCCAGGGAGTAATTTTAAATACTTGATTTAAAAGGTACCCATGCAGTTGTCATTCAACAGATGTTAATTCAAAGTATTGACTAACATTTTTATTGTGCTTATGATTCATCAAGTGTTTATCACATTGATTATTCAGTTTTTACAACCCAAGAAAGAGGTAGGTTTTTGCTCTGGTGCTCTGGGAGCCTACGGGACAGACTAGAACTGCGCCTTAGGTTTCTGAGATTGAAAATCTTTACTGGAAAAGACAGCCTCATCTTTCTCCTGAGGAGTGGCTGGTAGGTTCATACTATCAACTTTGCAGTTAGAGGCCCAATGCCTAGCCCATTGTGTCACCAAGGCTTCTTAACTTGTTGTTGTTAAGTATCATTGAGTCAGTTCTGACTGTTAGCAACCCTGTATGGGGTAACCATCTACATTACAGTCCAAACCAACCTTGCAGTTCAGTACTTACCCTACACCGCTACACCAGGAGTCCTATTTGTTGTTAAGTGCCATCGAGTTGGTTCTGAATCATAGCAATCCTACATAGGGTTTCCGAGGAGCAAACGATGGGTTTGAACCAACAACCTTTGGGCTAGCATTCCATTGCTTATTCTGTAGTGCCACAATAGGACTCTAGGACTCCTATGGTGTTGTTAAGTGCTATCGAGTTGGTGCTGACTCATAGCAATCCCACTGTATGGTTTCTGAGGAGTAGCTGTTGAGTTTGAACTGCTGACCTTGTGGTTCAAACAGGTTGTGTTATAGTGCTTTACCCACAGTACCACACTGGAACTCCAGAACTCTTATTGTTGTTATCATAAAGTGCTGTCAAGTCAGTTCTGACCAATAGCGACTCTGTATAGAGTTTCTGAGGTGCAGCTGGTGACCTTAAACTGCCAACCTTGTAGTTCAAACTAACTTTGCAGTCCAGCGCATCAACACACAGTGCTACTCCAGGACTCCTCTGAATGTCATATACATAATACGCATTTGATTAGTATTTTTATTTTAATATTTTAAATAAACAAATAAGATGAAAGCATGATTTTATGTGAATGAACTTTATGTACATTGATGCAGCATTTTCCCATTAATTGTCATGTTTTCAGATTGGGTTGAATTCAGTCCATATGAGATTGGCATGGCTAAATATGGTACTTTTATGGCCCCTGACTTATTTGGAAGCAAATTTTTTATGGGAACAGTTGTGAAGAAATATGATGAAAACCCCTTGCACTTCTTAATGGGTAAGTGATCGAAATCTATTACTGCTAATTGATTTAAGTCCTGATGAATTCTAAATTATTTTCTGTTTTTGCTTTATTGTAGGTGTCTGGGGCAGCGCTTTTTCTATATTGTTCAACAGAGTCTTGGGAGTTTCTGGTTCACAAAATAAAGGTTCCACAATGGAGGAAGAATTAGGTATAGTAAAAAAGCATGCTTAGAAAGTTATATGTTAATTTTATTAGCATATATGTATACATAAAGGAGCTCTGGTAGCGTAGTGGTTACGAATCCGGCTGCGAACCTTAAGGTCAGCGGTTCGAAACTACCAGCCGCTCTGCGGGAGAAAGATGAGGCTTTCTACTCCCGTAAGGATTTACACCCTCGGAAACCCTGTACAGGGTCGCTATGGGTCGGAACTGACTCTACGGCACTTAACAACAACAACAAATATGTATACATAAGACACATATATGTAGAAAAATTAAATTATCATAAAGAGCGCAGTAGTTCTAAAATTCCTTATAATTTGGTTGGATTAACGTAAATATTTTCTAAAAATCTTATATAAATTACTTCTCTATTATTCTTACGTTGAGGTTGTGAAATTTGTAAAAACCATGATCCCTAAGAATATTTTCACTAGGACATCTCCATCTCTTTCCCTCATTATACATCTCAGTATACTATTTTTGTTAGTGATTGCTCTTTTTATCACATAAGGGAAGCTTTTTAATTGCCATCATCAACAGTTGAATGAGATATGACACTGAAATTCATGCTTTCTACAACTTTTTTCCCTTAAATACTAGCACAGTAGAATTGTTTCTTGTAGGTATTAATTTGTCGCAAAAGGAAGGAAAACAAATCTTTCAGATAACCTCTAGTAAACTATAACTAATATCTATAAATATAACAATAAATGTAAAAGGTATTAGTTAAATATAGATCATACACATTAAGTTATTCATTTATATTTTAATACTAATATATACAAAACTTGTATATTTTCTTTATCCAAGAATTGACTTAAAGAAAACAAAATATATATCTACTATGCTCCACTCCTTCCAAAAGTCTTTCTATCTTTGTTCTAACCAACACTGACATTTGTTTTTGTTACGGTTGTTTTGACTGGTAATGGGAAGAAGTGGTACAAGCGAAATCTGAATTTAAGGCCATACCAGCAAGGACTAGGGTGAAGTGTCCTGCTAATTATCAGCATAACCTCCCTCTATCTCATTAATGACTTTGAAATACCACTGGTCTTTTTGAGAACATAGAAGTTCACAGAATAATAGCATAAAATAATAGCATTTGAATAAAGCTTGCCTGTAAAAATCCTTAGGATCTTTTGACCAGCTGCTTTTCGTTTTCCAGGGCAATAGCAGCTGATTCAATTAAAGCTTTATGGAAAAATAGGATACAGTTGTATCATCAATTAGAAACTATAAATTAGCTTATAATTAGTGCTGTCACTCTCCCTGTAAGAATTGATTTTAGTTGTTTGGTTTTTTATATTTATACTACGTACAGCTGAGGGCTCTGTAGGATTTAATGCTGGACTGAGCGCCAGAGGGTAAACAGTTCAAGCCCAACAGGTGCTATGCAGGACACAGTTGACGCTTTCTGTTCCCACAAAGATTTACGGCCTCAGAAACCTATACAGTGTCGCTGTGACTTGATGGCACATAACAATCTAAACAACAGTAAACTTCTACAACTCTTAATATTGTCTTCAAGAGTATTATTTGAGTGTCTGAACAGTTCTTAATAATTGTTGGAAAAATTATCTTATCTCACTAAAAGCCAAATATTTGAAACTAAAAATCATAACAAAACTGAAATACTTTGTGCTTATACTTGCTCATGTCTTCTAAGCATGATTCAGTTATTAAGCAGCCAAGATTGACTGAAGTCCTCAGCCTGTTGTGACCCAGAATACTGACCACATTCTCTTTAAGGTTACTACCAGACAATATGCATAAAACTGAAATAATCTTACCTGATTAATTTTAGTTAATATTATGCATATATGCTAATTGATTGTCCTGTTCTGAACTCTGATTTTGTGGAAATCTGTAACTCTTCTCTAAGATACGGGACAACTAACTGTAAAAAGAAAACAGAAGAGCACATAGACGCATCATATGTTATGTGGCTCCTTCTCTGTTGAATAATCAAGATAAACCTAGAGTTGGTTCCTTTTTTTCTCTTAGGGCAGGAAGGGAATAGGACTGAAATAACACATCTGAAGGAGGGTTAGGCAATGGCTAAAGGCTAAAAAAAGGAGGATGTTTTCTTTGTCTCGTTTGAGGGCAGTGGTTTGGCAGCATATGGATTCTTTATGTGTGTCAGACATACAGAGAGTACTGTGTGTTTGAGAACCAACAATCATTAGGCTGTGTGTTACCTCAGATAAATAAGGGGTTTTGGAAATGAAATCAGAGTGGTAACAAAGGTGAATCTAAAGACTAGTGATTCTTTCATCCATTGGTAGACTGAAGTCCTGCCCTTCAAGGGAGCTTCAGAGTGATTTGGGTTTATTTTTTCCCTTCTGAAGAAAAATTTCCTTCTGAAGGTAAACTGGACCATAGTCAGATAACTCTAAATAAAAGTCTTTACTTCCCTGAGGAATTTTAAATGTGAGAAATGCATGCTTATGAGTAGATGGAATTGTACATTATACTAGAGAAATGGAAAACATGGAAGTTCAGATCATCTATCTGTTTATATTATTTAAAAACTTGGAGAAATCAGTAAAACTTACTTATAAAGAAGATAATGTTTTGGTTAACCATCATCTTATTCTATCAAATGGACCAAAAAAGGAAATGTTTAAGGACAGAACATAACCTCTTTTCAAAATACATGTGGGATAAGAAACATACCTAATGTATATGAATGATATCAGGAGTGGATAATTTTTTATCATGCCTCCTTATTTCTGTAATAATCATAAAGTGAAATAAATAATAATATTAGGCAATAAACATTTTCTTTTATTTAATTTCATTTATCAAATCATGCCAATAAAAATAAATCTGAAGATATAAAATCATTGTCAATCTAATGCCTCAAGCATTTATTAATCCTCCCATTGTTCATTGATGCACTTGCCATTTATGTAGATGTGATAAATGGTATAGCCCTGTAGGATAAACACTAGACTGCTAACTGCAAGTCTAGGCCTTTTAAATCCACCAGTTGCTCCTTGGAAACTGTATGTTGTTGTTATTAAGTGCTGTCAAATAGTTCCAACTCATAGCAACCATGTGTATGGTTTCCCAGGAGCAGGTGGTGAGCCTGAACAGCCAATCTTGTGGTTCAAACTGATGTTGTGGTCCATTGTTTTCCTACATCACCACAACAGAACTCCTGGATCCCCTATACCAGATCTCTATGAGTCAAAACTCGCTCAAAATTACTTAACAACAAACAATAGCAACAATAAATTAAAATGCCAGAGTTGCATAAGGTGACCAAAATATTATACCTATATTTCTGTGTTTAAAGACCCCAAATATTGTCCTATAATTGTGTTAAAAAATAGTCAAAAACAAAGAAATGAAAGCATAGGGTTTATTTTGAGCAGTTATCTGAACCTATGAAGGAAATTAATTTTGTTTCTAAAAACCAGTTGCGTAACGTAGGATAGTTACAGTTGCTAAAAAACAAACAAACAAACAAACAAACAAACAACCTTTGAATTGTCAAGGGAGATAAAAAGATCCCAAATATAAATATTTGTTTACATGACTCATAGCAAGCCTGAATAGAGTTTCCTTTCGGTTGATTGCTTATCCTAAAGTCCTGGTGTGGCAAGGTCAGTTTGCACCACAAGGTCAGAGGTTCAAACCAACCAGCTGGCATTTAACAACAACAACTATATATACACACACACATGGAAGCTCCATATGATAAGCACTGGACTGCAAACCATAAGGTCAAGGCCACCAACCACACCGTGTGAGAAAGATGAGGCTTTTTGTTTCCATGAAAATTTCAAGCCTCAGAAACCCTATACAGGGACGCTAGGATGGTACTTAGCAACAAGAATAAGTCCTGGGATGTAAGACAAGCATTGTACTTATAATGGCAAAGTCGGTGGTTCAAACCCACCAGCCTCTCCTCAGAAACCCTACACAGGATTGCTATGAGTTGGAAATAACTCCCTACACAGGATTGCTATGAGTTGGAAATAACTCTCTACACAGGATTGCTATGAGTTGGAAATAACTCTATGGCATTATATGTATAACTATACACCAGAACTGCTATGTATATTACAGTGACTCTTTATTAAGTCTCAAATAGGATAAAGAAGACAAAAGAAACACAAATCATCCAGATAAAGGAAACCATCTGCATGATGCCATGATGAAATCCAAAGGTTCACCTCCACGCTGTGATGTTTATAGGGCATAAAGAACAAAGGTTTCTCCTTCCACAATCAGGACTGATGGCAGGCAGATCATTGTACCATATCTACAGACTAAACTATGGAAGTGAGAAAATAATTATTGTAGGTTAGCAAAAAGCTTATAGGATTGGCTCTGAGGCCCACTGGGTATGACATCACAATCATGTGACCCTGAATCCCCAATTTCCATTAGGGGCAACTTCAGGCAAGTCTCTGAAAGGATGAAGGTCTCGCCCTGTGCTGGCTTAGGGAGTAGCTTAAATAAAGGCACTTAGTCTGACTTTGGCTGTTTGGTTGTCAGAGGTGTGTGAAGTACTCAAGAATTGGATTCTGAAACAATGTTAAGGCTCAAGATGTTATTATGGACTCTGACTGTGACTACAATTCTCTGAGAGCAAAATGTCCTCAGATTTCAGGCTCTATAGCAGAATTAAAAAGCAAACAAGAGCATTATATGTTATTAATCTATGGTTTCATAAACAATTAGCACATTGGAGAAGTATGCATCTCCCTTCATGAATTAAAAATGCTCCTGGAAACTGGAGACTTCACAAAAGCTTAAATATAGTTTTTAAGTTTCTGTGTGATGAAGTATGCATCGGTTATTGAGTTAGCATTCAAAAAGTGAATTTTGAAAATTTGACCTTTTCTTATTTGTAGCTATGCGACTTCTTGAAATTAAAATTGAGACAAGCACAGCCTTATTTTATGAAATGATGATGTAATGGATATGTTTTTGACCATCATTATCAAGCCAGAAAAAAAGTAGCATTTT